ATTTCAGCAGTTCTCGTCGGTCTTCATTATCCTCATCGTCATCCCTCGTCATCTTCGTTTGCCTCACCCAAGGCCCTCCCGCTCCAACTCCATCTCCAAACGCCGCAGCAAAGGCATCCGCCATACCTGGATCCTTGATCGCAAACACGCATTCCTCGATGCCTTTCCACGTTTCCACAACCCTTTTACCCTTTGAGACAATTTGAGGCAACAATACCTTGCGCCATGCTGCAGCCACCTCGCCCACTGGATTCCCATATGCACCGCAGCCCCATGCGCCGAGGACAATCTTCTCGACGCCCTTGTCCTGGCAAATGCGCATGACCATTCGCATCTTTGACACTGCCAGTTCCCGGTCCTTGACATTGACGTATCGTCCCCAGCCCTTTTCGTCGTCACGCTCAACTTCGGGGTTCCGTAGCATGGCTGCCGTGATGCAGTCTACGAACCAGCGGTTGCGCTTCTCGAGAACTACATCACCGCCGTCGGCATCCCGAAACACCATGACATCAGGTGTATAGATGGCCCCAAGTTCGGGCAGCCGGTAGTACTCGTCTTTTAGCGACGGCAACAGTGTGGTGCGCATGCACAGCGACTCCTCCTGGCTGCTGGCGCCGTTCAAGAACCCACCGCCAGGGTGTAGCGGAGAAGCCATGTTGAGGACCGCCACGCGAACAGAGGCATCTGCGTCGACAAGAGCCCGGGCAGCTTTGAGCGTATCCGCGGATCGGAGTTTGAGACGAAGAGCATGGGGCTCCTGGTTGCTCGTCCTCGGTGGTGGATTGACGATGAGCTCTGCCGCGTCTAGCCCGCGACGCGCGCGGGGATGTGTCGGCAGTAGGCCGGGTACCACTTGATTAATCGTCGCCTTGGCCTTTTTCGCCCGAGCTGCGCGGCGAAATGAGGCCGGCGGCTGGCCGATTGATGGCTGTGTGCGGCCCATGGTGTTGGTGTTGTTGATGAGAGGTAGGATATTGGTTCACGTTGTGTTACGATGAGTCATGGCCCAAGCACCTTGATGGTTTGGCATCAACATCAGCTGACAGCCAAGCGACTATGCGCGATAGGCCTGGTATCACCTACACCTGAAAACTCATCGTAATCCAAGTACTTAATACTTTGAAAAATACGTTGCAAAACCCGCCAATCATGAAAGTCGACAGACTAGGCTCTGCTCCAGGTTGCACCGGGAAAGCTGATCCATCGACAACAAGGAGATTGCGAACACATCTGACCCGGAACTTTGAGTAGAGAACAGCCATGGGATCACTGTTTGGTCCGATTTCACAACTCCCAGATGCGTGGTGAGAGTGAGTCTGGCTACGGATATATCTTTTCTGCTTGTCTTTGGTATGTTCGACGCCCGCAGCACAGAGACGCAGTTCTCAGGTTGTCGAACAAGGGACGGACAGATTTGACCCCTCTAGCATTGGATCCAGATCAACATGGTAGTCGTTTAGATTGAAAAGTTAAAAATTGAGATGGATATCAGGCACATCCCTGAGGTCGTCTGGTCTGAGCGTAACGGTGCCATTGATATTTCGTGAGTAAAGCTGTTTTTAACTTCACTGCTCTACACAGCTCCCTATTCTTCTCACACCCCAAGACTGAAATAATCGTGGGAGGGACTCTAGCGTAGCTGCAGTGGATCGCGCAAGTTAAATACATTCAACGACCCCCAATAATATCCTCCGATGCCTTCTCACTCAACATGTAGATTCCAAGGACCGGGAACGCTCCAGGAGACCTCGGAAACGCACTGGCATCGACAACCCGCAGACTGGACACACCACGGACACGGAACTTGGAGTCCAGGACGGCATTCTTGTTAGACTTGGGGCCGATGGAGCAGGTACCGATCACGTGGTGACCAAAAATATTCTCACGAATGAAGTCTTCGTCGCTATTAGCCACGGAGCAGCTTCCATCGGCACCAATAGTGCCTGAACAAGGAGGCCAGGTGATATTGTACGGAGCAAATGGCGCCTGCACACGATTGAAAGCACGGCGACCCCAAGCAAGGAACTCCTTGATGGCGGCGATGTCGTTGGCGGCGCCTGTACCATTGAAGTGTCGGAAGTTGATCTCAGGCGTCACCGTCGGGTCGGCCGAGCGCAACTTGAGGTATCCAGCCGTGCTGTTGCCGTGGATGTGGACGCTGTGCATGCCCCAGGTCATCGGAGGGTCGTCCCACTTCTGTCCCGTGTTCCTAGGCCAGAAGCCACGGAACCCAAAGGATCCGGGGAAGATGGCAATGTCGCGTTCGTCGTTGATGGTGTGGTTGGTCTTGAGAAAAGCCAATTGAGTCAGGGTGGGCTGGACATACGGTCCCTGGCCCTGGTGATAAAGCTCAAGACAGCGGTCGCCAGGAGCTCCAAAGGTGCACTGAGATCGAGGGCCGCCGGGAGCGGCGTCATAGTTGAACGCCTGGGTACCGTGACCAATGAGGGCAATCTCGTTGTGGTCTTGCATGTTGCGACCGACGCCAGGTCGATCGGCGACGACTGGGATGTTCAGGGCCTTGAGGTCGGCAGCTGGTCCAACGCCGCTGAGGAGCAACAGTTGAGGCGATCCGAATGAGCCGCCACAGAGGATCACCTCCTTGCGAGCAAAGACCTGGCGCAACGTCTTCTTGACCCTGGAATCGTACCGGAGGTCACCCTGAAAGGCGCTCTTGCCGTCGAGGTACTCGACACCTACGGCACGAGGCAGCGAGTGTCCTCGGGCCTTGTTGAAGAGTACCTTGGTCGCATAAGAGTTGAGACGAACTTCCAGAGGAAACCGCTTCTTTCCGTGCTTGTTGACGGCGCGCACGGTATCCAGCACTCGGTTCCTCGAGCTGTAGCGCGCCCAGGTAGCATTGGCATGCTGCGGGTTTCCCAGAAGACCTGTGATCTGGTCCCGGTCAGGGTTCAGGGTTTGGTTGGGGTCGGTGTTCAGGATGTTCTTCAGGTCTTCGGGATTCTGCCCTGCTTCTGCGGCCATGGCTTTTAGGACCGCATTCGCCTGCGGCGAAGAAAGAAAAACGGTCCCGTTGCCCAGGATTGTTTCAAGGTAGCCATCGAAGCCGTGGCCCGGGGTACCACGAGGGAGGTATTGGTTCCTTTCCAGCTTGATGAACAAGTCTCCCATATGAGCGGCGCTAATTTTGATGCATTAGCTGATTTGTTCCCAACAGACAACCAAAGACGGGTTCGGGAGCAGCTTACCCCCACGAGTCATCGCCTGTGAGATCCTTGATATAATCCCAGTCGCTGTTGGCTGGTTGTACAGTCAAGGCAGAGTTGACAATAGATGATCCTCCTAGTGTGGCGCCACGGGGGTACTGGATGCCGACAATCTCTGCTCCCGGAGGGCGCAGTTGCTACCAGGACCAACCCAGAGGTTCCCGTTGGGAAGCCTCCAGGTGAGATGCTGGTATCTCTTCGTCAGTTCGATATCGTCGTAGTGACGAACCCAGTAGGTCCACGTCATGGCAGTGGTGTCCGCAGTGTTCGTCAATGCAATGGCGTTAGTGACCTCTGAAGCACTGTCGTCGTCGCCAGCCTCAAGCAACAGTGTCTTAAAGCCAGCTCGGGCGAGATTGGCGGCCAAGGGACCGCCTCCGGGACCGGAGCCGACGACCACATAGTCGTACGTATCAACCGAGTTGGCGGTTGCCGGATTGGCAAAGATGGTGCTGGCGACAAGCAGGATGCTGCCGAGGCTACGAGGTGCCTCCATGAGGTTTATGAACCGCATGATTCGGTAGCGAGCAACTGATGCTGATGGTTACAAGAGAGATTGCTGGAAAATATCTTGGAGAGGAAGCAGTATGGGATGAGGAGTGAAAGTTGGAGACAGACAGGCGACGCACCCTTATATATTCAGCCGATGAGTGAGGTCCTGGCGTTGTTGGCAATATCGACTCTTCTCTGACCACTTCGGCGCAATGACTCTGACTTAGTTGAACCCTTGTCGCTTTGCTGCACCGCGTCTGCTGCCATGTTGGCCATGAATGTGATAATTTCCAACCGGCTGACCAAGCAAATTGATGTCGAACAGAAATCTACGTCGGAACCCAGAAGCTGAGTGCAATACAAGTGCCGCCGTGGAAGCAACCAAACTTCCATGAGATCCCTTACTTTAGATTAGCATCTAGATTAAATCAGGCTTAGCTCAGAATGGGGATCATGAGTGGACCAGGTACCCACCCCGCATCTTTAAATGTTTGTGGATCGAGGCGCCCGAAAGGGTAAAAATGTCATCCCGTCCAAATCGCATTCAAGGTCATTCTTTTCTGTCCGCTGATCGCTGTGTTGGACACCGTTTACGATCGAGAACAAACATAAATATTCGGAAGCCACGGCTTGGACCACTGTCAGATTCGGCAGCGTATGAGTAGGACAGTCGCAGGTCAAGCTGGCAAGCCCTTCTCAAAAGCCGGCCAGACTCGAGCACCCCCGCGGCGCCCCGGCCCCCCTCGCCAACGAGGTGCTGGTCGAGATCATGAGATCACCTAGCCGCTCGGCGACCGGAGGAAATGATTACCTAGAAGCGAGTGTGCACGCCGTGGCATCCCATGATGGCCGCTTCGCAGAGGGGCCAGGGTTCGACAATGGCTGCTGGTGGTATTTTGGTGCTCGAGAGTCGGGCGGGGGCAGCGTCTTTGGAGTAGACTTCGGAGCCGAGGCTTTCTACATATAGTTAAATGTCAACGTCTGCATCGTCTGGTTTCAGACAGAAAACATGATCAGCAAAAGTTACGATCTCTGTCAAGTGCGCAAAGGTACCTGAGAAGCATGACTGGGAGGGGCGCTTGCACAACGCGCCTGTTTTGCATCTTCGCGCTTTCGGCCCACAGACCTATCCATGGCCAGAGCTGAGCAATACATACCATTGCCCACCTGTTCAAAAATGTCTTGCGACATCGTCATGGCTCCGAGAACGAGGTTGATGGTGTAGATGGCCTCGCTAACTTTGAGAGCAGCAAAAGGTGGTGACCGCCTGCGGGGTTTCAGCGGGTCTGTTGGGTGGTGCCTTCCCAGTCAGAGTCTCACGCACCGTTGACTACCTAGCACCTACAAAGCATCGCAACTTGTTTCGCAATGAGTACCAGACGAACCCGCAGATTGCGGATAGAGTCGAACAATATGCCACCCCGAGCCGGATCTTGCTGTCCTTGTGCTCCCTAACTATTGCTCTTGGCTATCTGGTCACGTGCTGCCTCGTGCGATTACTGAACAACCGAAAAGCTTCCTCGGTGTTCAGTAATCGGGCCCTCAGGTCAGTAATTACACCATCAGGTCAGTAATCGGGCTGCCAGGTTGCCGACGTCAAAAATAACATTGGTCATCTGTTCAAGCCATATCTACAGCTTGTCCCCTACTATGGATGGCTCTACGCCCTCAGCGCCATACGCCCACCCGACGAAGCATGGATGAGCCGAACAACACGGTAAAAGACGTCGCCTCGCCGCCGCCGGAGTCCTGGGAGCACGACTCGCAAAACCCCTTGAATTGGCCGTCGCGTGAGAAGTTCAAGAACACGTTCATCGCCTCAATAGCGGCTTTCACAGCGTAAGAACCCGTCCCTCAAACCAAGCCGCCGCTGACATCTGTAGCTCCATTGGTACGTCGCTTCCCAGCTCAGCCACTTTCCAGTACCAGGAAGAGTTTGGAGTCAACGTCATGCAATCCATTCTTCCACTCTCCATGTACGTCTTTGCACTCGGACTTGGACCGGTCCTCGGCGGCCCCTTGTCGGAAACCATCGGACGACATCCAATCTACGCCGGGAGCATGTTCTTCGGAGCCCTCTTCACCGTCGGCGCAGGCCTGACGCATAACTTTGGCGCTCTGTGTTTCCTCCGATTCATGGCCGGCTTTTCCTTTTCTCCGAGCTTGGCAGTGGGCGCTGGTACAATCAGCGACATGTTCCACCCGGCCCAACGCGGGCTGCCGTCGACGCTCTTCATCCTGATGCCGTTTCTGGGCCCTGGCTTTGGGTACGTCTGCCGGCCACCATCATTTGTCCCCAGTAGCTGACGTGAAAGACCCGTCATCGGTTCATTCGTAGTCATGCGCAAGGGATGGCGCTGGACCCAGTGGACTTTGGTATTTTTCGCTACTGCTTCGCTGCTGTTCTCTCTGGCGGGCAAAGAGACCTATCGTCCTGTTCTCGAACGACGCCGGGCCCAAAGGCTTGGCCATCCAACAGGGGACAAGATACCCCTCGGCAGCCACATTCTCATGTTCCTACGCATAGCTCTAGTGCGGCCTCTGCACATGCTGTTCACGGAGCCCATCATAACCTTTGTCGCGCTCTACGTCGCTTGCGAGTTTGCCACACTCTTCGCCTTTTTCGCAGGTGTGCCCTATGTCTTTAGGAAGGTGCATGGGTTCTCAATTGAGCAGTCCGGGCTCGTCTTCCTCTCCATTGTCATCGGCTGCTTGCTCGGCGCAGTCACCATCATCGTGCTCACCGTCGTATCCTATCTTCCTCGGGCAAAGCAGCTGCATCCTGAGCGGGTGCCCCCAGAATACCGCCTATTCCCGGCCATGTTTGGCTCAATCGGCCTGCCCATCAGCTTGTTCATGTTTGGATGGACCGCCCGGGACGACGTAAGCTGGGCAGTGCCCGCCTTTGCCATTATCGTCTTTGCGTGGGGCAATCTTTGCATTTTCGTGTCAACCATTCAATACACCGTCGACACGTATACCGGCGCAAACGTGGCGAGCGGAGCAAGTGCCAACGGGTTTGCCCGTTACACTCTGGCAGGGGTTCTGCCGTTGTTCACGGTCCAGAGTACGTACAAGCAGCACTATGCATGTTCCTGGCTGATCTTGTGTAGTGTATCGCTCGCTGGGTATCCCTTGGGCTGCCAGCTTGCTCGCATTTGTCTCCCTGGCCCTCGCCCCGGTTCCCTGGGTCTTGTTCAAATGGGGGCATATCATTCGGAAGAAGAGTCGATACGAGACGGCATGACCGGCAGGTCACCTTCACCTAGGTGGAATTGGAGGCCTCGGTGCAAAGCCGTATGGCAACACGCAGCACCGTCCACACATGGCGAGAAGAACTCCTGAGGATGATTCTGAAGTAGGCAGTATTGCCTTGGTGGTGTCCTGCACAGTGTCAGCGACTCACTCCTGTTGTCCATCCAAGGTAGGGATCTCGAGTCGAGTGTCATGCGGTATTTCCAATGGTCAACAGAGTCAACATCAGAGCACGAGATCGAGACGAATACATTGAATTTGGGCGAGCAAAGGCCTGTGTGGCTATTCAACGCAGTCCGAGAAACCAGGAAGATGCTGCGCTCTATTGGCGGAAGACACTCCAATGAACCTTGGCGAGCTCTGCCCAGTTGCGGCAACCCATGTCCCCGCCCGCACCAACCCTTCCACCTCTGTTGTATCGATTGATCGAATCGGTAGAGAGGTCCCTGACATCGGTGTCGCCGACAAAGGCTCCAAAGAAGTTATCCGTGTACACGCGGAAGCCACATTCTCCACAACCGACCAGGTTGAACCAGCCATTGTTTGGCTTGTCGTCACGGCCGAAAGCCCATCTACCTCGGAGCTGATATCTTGCGTAGTCCCGCACACAGATGCAGTGGTCCGTCAGCGGCGATCCGTTTGACGTCTCGTCTCGAAAGCTTGCAGCACCGCAGGCGTCAACACCGTTGGGCCAATGCTCCCACTGCCAGCGACGGGCAACGTTGCTGTCGTCATCTGCACCAGTAGGCTGAACGTCCTCTGGGCTCTGCATCTTGGCAACCCAAACAGTATACGTGTTTCCGTCTGAAGCGGTAAAGTTGTGGAGGTCGACGCTGTTCACATCCACAGAGGCTGGAAGGGGGACAACATCTCCGTCCGGCACCTTGGGAAGTAGTGCCGAAGCTGTCGCAAAAGACGAAGCCCCGAGAGTCAGAGCTAATAGTGTGTGGGCAAACATTGTTGAAGTTATGAGTATGGTCAGAGGTGATGCTGGAATGTGAAGCGTTGGTGTCGAGCCGCAAGTCGAGATGAGGAGGCTGGATGACTGGTCTTCTCAACCATATCAACAGTGTGACAGCTGCTTTTATAGGCGTTCTGTTCAAGAGGGCCGAAACTGCCATGCATCACTGTATCGACATTGGCAAACCCTTGATGCTTTTCGGGGTCGAATGCTCGGTCCGTCTGCGCGCTCAACTTCCTCATTCTCATCCCGTCCGCAGTGGGTCGCATGGGCTGGATGCCTAGTAAACCGTACATGCGCTGCAGGCGCGCGCATTTCTTCCTCCGGCTAACTGCTGCGCCGTACACAGCTAAAGTCTAGCGTTATCGATTGGAAGGATTAATACTCACAGCAATCTAAGAGATACAAGGGAATCTGCAGAGCAAATCCTGCGCGATGGAGACAATTGATTCTGTCTGGCGCTTGCAACGGCGACCTCTTTAAAAGGAAGGTGGAATGAGAGTCCGTGAACCCCTCATCTGAGGATGACCCTGGAATATCCATGTGCAAGGGACCTACTAAGCGACAGCACATGTCAAACTACACGTTGTGACTCTGAAGGTTTGTTGTGTCAAGACATTACTCTTTACAATGGATGCAAGGTAAGGATTAAATTGATCATTGTTGTGAAGAAGACTGCATCTAATAGTACAAAGATTTCCATCCTCATATACTTATCTGCTCTATCTTTTTTGCGAAGTGGTGCCGCCATGTCGAAATGGCTCACTACGTGTCCCTTGGTGGTCTTGGGTCACTGTTTCGCTGATTCTGATCCATGACGTGGCTTGCTAACACGAACACGTAGGGCGCTCATTTCATCGTTGGCTTCCGAGGATGCGGGTCATAGCCTTGGAAGCCTCGATCCGGCGACGCGTTAAAGTCGGCGTGTGACCCAAGAGGCTACCTCTGTAGATGCTAAGTCACTAACATCCATGACAGACAGGTGTTCCGATTAAAGAAGGCACTACGTACTTGAGACGCCATGTCTATATTCTATCTTCATTGACCATATCCTAGCAATCCGTACACGGCCTCGTTCCTCATCGCCGGACCAGGTAAGTATAATCAAGTCAGTCCTGTATGGATGAAGCCGCGCCCTTCAATCTAGTCTAGCAAGGACAAATAAGAAAACAATGCCCAGCAAGACTTGTCAGTCTTTTGAGATCAGCTTCTGGCCTCGTTTGAGAACTTTGCTCACGAGTTCCTTGTCGCTAAGGCCGACACTATCCTTCAAAGAACTATCAAATGATTTGTGGGGTGCGAAGGCGTTGAGGAGCCAGCATAGAAAGGCGTTAGTACCCTTCCAGATGTAGTTTGAGTTACTGCCGACGACCTGAGAGACGACGCCAGTAGCGAACTCTTTCGGGGTGACGGAGGTTTTGGTATGATTTGCGGTGCGCTCCTTGGCCTTGGGCTCCAGGTCGGCATAGATACTGTCGGGGCCATAGTCAACGTTTTCGGTCGACATGAGACCAGTCGACACCTCGCCCATATAGAGCGTCACGACGCGAATACCGAGCGGCTCGAGCTCTAACCTCAGCGTATCCGAATAGCTAGCTACGGCGGCTTTTGTAGCATTATAACTAGCTGTGAATGGCATAGGGATACGGGCGAGAATAGACGCTACGTTAACGATAGTCGGCGCACGGCTTGAGCTAGCTGCGGCCTTGAGAAGTAGGGGTGTAAAAACGGAAACCGAGTCGAAGAGGCCAAACACGTTAGTCTCGAACATTTTTTTGACGCGAACAGGGTCTTGCTCAATAGCCGGTGCCTCGTATACTAGATACTCCAATTAGTGCATTTCCTTCCTGTAGCCGCGGGAGTAGAGAGAGCTCAATTCATAAGATAATTTTCATGTTACCGATAGCTTCAAGGAGTACGACTTACGGGTACCGGCGTTATTGAAGAGGATGTCAAGCTTGCCGCCAGTCCGGCCCGCGATCTCGTCTCTCAAACTAACAAGACTCTCGAAATCCGTTACATCGACGGTCAAGGTCTCGATGCCGTTCTCGGTCAGATTAGTAAGAGTCCTCAGGGAACGGGCTGTCGCAAAGACTCGGTAGCCCTTCTTTGCGAACTCGAGGGCCAGGGCGTTGCCGGATCCGCCTTGGGAGGCTCTATCAGACGCGCGTCAGTAAGCTCTCAAGATGCAGGGACTAGTAGATGGTGCAATAGCACATAAATGCATTGCCTATTTTGACACATACCCGGTAATGAGGACAGTGGGCTTATTGGGTGAAGCCATGGTGGGTGACTTGATGTGGTGATGGGCGTGGCTTGTGGTATAGGAAACTCGTTCAAGTGAGTCCGAGACCGATTAAGAATGCGGATGAAAATGTCATTTCAAGGATCGTGTGGAACAGATAGAACTCTTATAACGAAATTAGAGTTCATTGCTCGCCATTACTCAAGACTCCTTCCCTTCCTCCCTACCAAGCTTAGGCAAACATAGATTGCGTGTTGTGCTGACGAGGAGAGACCAATGTCGGACGGCCATGAGCCGCAACCATCAGTCATGGGCTGAGTAATCGGCACGGTGTTTCGAGGATAACGGCATTCATGACGCCCCGATCGCCGCGTTTGACCTTGAACCCAACGCGGAAGGCGTGCCGAGCTTGGCGAACCAGTCGCACGCGACGACGGGATGGAAAAGGGTTGCGCCGCCAGCAAACTCAAAATCTCCAAGTGGTAATCAGCCTCTTGACCTGCACCTCGGCAAAGATTTACCCACTCCATCGGCTCAATCATGAGCCGTTAGGTATGCCGTCTACCGATGCCAGTATCATCAAGGTCGAAGCGTGGCAGTGGCGCCGGGCCAGTGCCTCAAAGGCGCTGCGGTTGAGATACAGTGTCGCACACCACGTGACCGCTCCTGACGTCTCCCGCTGCAACTCGCATATCAGGTCTTGCCATCCACCACGAAGACGCTTCTGAATCCGGCCAACGTCGACTTATCGACATCATCTTCCTCTAACTCCCACAGACTCTAGCATTAGCTACGATTGGCTGCTGCTGTGACGTTGCCGAGGTTGGCACCAACGCTACTCAGCTGTGGGAAGTTGGCGACTGCGGCACCTTAGCCGACCTCAAGATCGACACTGACCTCACCTGTAATAGGGCCGCCCATGCCTGCAACTCTACCGCGCCTATCTCCGATGTCTGTGCCGTGGCTGCCATGCTCGCCCTCAACCTCCGATATGGCCCTCCAGCGACAAGGCCCCCCGAAGTCCTGATTGTCCACAAGATTCTTGTCTATGATGGGCCCACCGCCGCAGGCCTCTCCAATGTCCAGATTACCAACACCACTGCTTACGGGCGTGAACACGGCTTCTTTACACTCCCTTGACCTCGGTCAGATAGTCCGCATTGATGTCTCGACCGATCAAGTAACGCGGTCGTTCGGAACATCGTCAAGACCTATCCTAAAATCAACGAGGCCGTTGGCTGTCGTGTCGCCGGCCCTTCCACTGACATCTGCGATGACGTCCCAAAGAACGCCAACGAATACCAGCAGCATGGTTATTGATGCCTTGCCTCAAAGATAGTCCGAGGTCCACGGTTTCCATATTCTTTTTCACCCTTCTACAGATCCCGTAAATACACCGTGGGACATGATGACTTTGCACGTAGAGCCAGAAAATTCCAAAGTTAAAAGTCGAGCCATACTAGGTATGAAAAGACTAGATGACTAGTCCCAGAAGTTGTTGCTCTTAGAGCTCGAATTCTTGGTATATACAGTTCAAGTCTTGTGTCATGAAAGAAACATGTTGCATCTAAACGGACGGCTGACGTTCACAGGAAGTATGTGCTTTGAGCCGAGCGTTATGGAATAAAAGCAAACCCAGCAACCTTTGATCTTCCGGGACGAGACGACAACCTGGCGATGTTATTGGGAACCTCTGTCTGCCGAGCACGCCAAGGAGAAAATAATGGCTCATACTGCCGAAGGTGTCTCAATACCATCGAGCAGCGCAACCGCGACTAAGTCCTGCGATCTGCCTACCTGCTGGAACTGGAGATGCCGTGACATCCTTCTCTGCGATGCTCGCGAGTATGGTGCCCCCTACGGCGAATCGTATGCAGTTCCGGGGACTTTAAGAATTTGGATTCACGAGATCACGCCCCTGGCCGGCCGGCTTCGTGCGTCGGCTCGGCTCGTCACGTCAATCTGGCTATCTCCGAACCCCGTGTCTGGCAAACCCGATTGCTTCGCTTCTGTAAATTTCTTTCATTAAACCATGTTGCGCGATGGATGATTGAAACGTCGGCCGAGACCGCACAAGAGGAACTTTCTGACGTGGTAATCCTAATGGCAGCTCCACCATACCATCACGACTGCGGACACGGTGAGCGATGGCAGCAGGTTGGTAGAGGCGTCCCGGACCCAATAGACCAAGACCTGTGGACCAGATCCCTCCGCATGGCCGGCCATTCTCCGCCAAGTGCCCGTCGAGGATGACTCTCGGCGGCGCGCTAAAGCTATCCTGTCAGATCCACGCTCGCGGAGCCAATGTCGACGCCGATCGTATCAGAGACTTAATTTTTTGAACCAAGTGCTCGAACAATGAGTAGCAAACCATGCACTGGAGATCGAATCTGGCATTCGACGCGAGCACCTACAACGCGCATCACAAATATCGTTTCCTTGGGCCGCTGCTGTTCAGACCAGCTGCCCATCACCGGCCTCTTTATAAGGGCGTCATTCAGACGCCGGACAGCCCCGATTCTGTGTTATGCCAGCGGCCCACCATGAATTACAGAGCCTAAGGTATCTCAAGTTTCGATCCCTCCCAGCAGGAGCACCTGGGCCGAATCGCATGACGCGCGCTGCTCGGAAACGGCGTGAACACGCAGTGATTATCGCCGGGCCCCACGCGGCGGGTCTCGGAGCAACACATCAACTGAACCGTAAATCCGGAGTGGGACGAGGAAGCCGAGGCAGCCGGACTGCGGAGTTCCAGTCAGGTATTTCGACAGCCAATTGCTCGGAAAGTCACGAGCGGGGAAACGCACATGCCGGCCGTGAGGTGGGGAAACCTTAAACATACTTTGCCCGCGTCGTACGAGCGCTTTCGGTACTATATCACAGATGCGGGGTGCTCGAGTACTTGGGAGCTCCAGAATGTAACCTCCGTTCTGTGCCTCGGCTTCTTTCTCCAAGGTCGTCAAGATATAGACCATCAGACGGAGCCGCCCATGGACGGATTACATGCCAACACGGACGTTGGAGCACCAGCGCGAAACTACAGACCACTTACTGCCCCAGGCATCCTGGTGGACGCCGATTTGCAAGTACAATGTCGTATCAACCAGAGGAACCACCGAACAACACCATCATCAACGGCCATACCGGCGCCTCCGCCAAGCTTTATCGCAAACCCGCCGACCCGGAAACGCAGAAGCTCATCGACCACGTTATCGAAAGTGGCTTCGTCGTCATCGAGAACGCCTTTGGGGACATAGAAATCAATGAGGCCCTCGGCGAAGTAGAGCGCCTCAGCGTTTCAACCGAACTTGGCGGCCCTGCCAGTGCTCACGGCCGTAACAACTTTGAAGGTTTTAAGACGAGGCGCATCTACACGCTCATCAACAAGTCCAGGATCTTCGACAAGTTTGCCATTCATCCCCAAGTCGAGGCCCTGAACAACTATTTCCTCGACCCCGGATTCCTCCTGAGCAACTTCCAGAGCATCAACATTCAGCCGGGCGAGGAGCCCCAGACGCTCCACCACGACGATGCATACGCTACTCTACACGGCCACACAGGCCGCTGGGTTCTGTACGTCGGCTTACAGAGATCCGCCTTAGTTCCCCTTCTCACCCTGCTGACTGTCAAACCAGGCCATCATGATCGCCCTCGATCCCTACACCTCAACCAACGGCGCGACGGTTGTTGTGCCCAAGTCGCACACGTGGGGCGCCGATCGTATCCCGAGCCGCGCAGAGGCCGTCCCCGTCGTTATGCCCAAGGGCAGCATCGTCTACTTCATCGGCACCCTCTGGCACGGAGGCGGCCGCAACACCTCCAACAGCGACCGTCGCGCCCTGACTGTGCAGTATTGCCAGCCGTGGATCCGCACCATTGAAAATCAGTTCCTCGCTGTTGACTTTGAGAAGCTCCCTGACATTCCCAAGAGAATTGTCGACATGCTTGGGTACCAAGTTGCAGCGCCGTTCATTGGACACGTCGACGGCATGAGCCCCCGGAAGGCTGCAGAGAGACACCTACAGCGGTGGGGAGCCAGCAACACTGGCCACAGTAAACTGTAGTGTGGTTATCGTATGGTACGCGATACAGCAAATTTGTGCGTAGATCTAGTCACGAGTTTGGTTCACCGCTGATTACGGCTTATTCCCGTCTTTGATGAGTTCCACGCAAGTCTCCGTAGTGCATCGATTAAGAGGCTACCGTCCTGTAGGTTGATCATTGCCGGGCAAGGTCCAACAACGCATGACAGTGGTCAAAAAGTCTTGCGCTTCAACAGCAGCAAGGCCGCCAGAGTACTAGAACCAAGTAACGACTTTCCATACATGGCATGGCGGTACCCAATGCGCGACACCCGGTCATCCTTGATCAGAGAACGCAGCCATCTTGTTGCAAAGCAAAAAAGAAAGTCTTCTGAAATCTCAAACCTCTGGCAGCCACTACTCATGATGAGAGTTGTTCAATTGCACCATGTAAATGCTTCACTGGAGTCCGCGAGCTACTTTGCGCGGGCAAACTTCTCTTCGGCACTGCAAGCCGCAGCCGTTCTAGGGGTGCAAAGTTAGCCTCATGTTGTCTCAGGAGACCACTTTGTCAAATAGCATGGATTCAACACGAGCCCTTTGACCATCTCGGACGAGGGCCCCTTGAGATGACAGGAGTACCACACAAGGTTTGTGATGTCAAAGCGAGGCGGAAAAAGCAGTGCCCTTGGAGGTTCATTGAAGGGCGCGCAGTGCCAAGCCACCATTCGTATGGGGACTATGATCGTTAATTACCAGCCCCAAGCCTGGCGTATTCGTCGGCATCCACAACTTCTCGGGTCGCGCTTCTCAGGCTTGCAAAAGCCGAACGCGCCTGGTCAGCCCCCTCTGCTGCTCCTGGTCGGCTGACTCAATAGCTGCTGGAGGCCTAGTACTCGGTCAGACCAACTGATCTGTCGTGCAAGAGCCCGGGTTGATCCCGAGCCCCAGAATGCTACAGACTTGGCGGCCATGGAGACTCTCTGCACCACGATCAAGCGTTTTCCGTCTGCGACACGATCCCAAGCATCTGCGATTGGATGGATTAATTCTACAGAACTCGAACCACCATGATCAGCAGCTGATCTAAGTGATGCAGTACGCATTACCACGTCGAGGCCCCCTGTCAGAGCGAACGTCCAGATCGAATAACGAGTTCGCTTGACGAACCGAAGCGCCAGGACAATAACCTCAGATTTGGGGAAGCTGATCGTTAGCCTTGATTAGAGGCCCGTCAATGTTTCATCTATTGAGGCGCAGTCTAGCGTATTCGCTGGGTACCCGGGGTAATCCTGGGCTATTCCCACGATGTCTGCTGGCTAGACCCACTGAGAGAAGAACCCCGTCCTGTCCATGGCATCGATTGCCGTGCGAGAATGACTAGAACCCTCAGAAAACTTCCCTAGAGTCAACGATTGCTGTGAACAGCTCGAGAGTTTAAGTTTGCCCTTGTCTTAGCGTCCGATCGAACAAGCAACTCACTCTAGGCCGAGTCCGACTGTCACGATCAAAGGAAGAACGACGGCTCGAAGCGACGGTACCTCTCTGTCGCGAAGCTCTCGTCCTCGAAGAACGATTGGCGCGCCTCGCTTGTATCAGCTGAGGATGACGGCCTTCGCCTCCGAACCCGGTTCGGAGAGGTTCGTGTAGAGTGGCTGACTGCCACCCTTGGCGTCGGATCCGTGTAATCTCGAAAACGACCCTACCCTGGCCACGAGACCCACCACATAAGCATAATTTGAGCAACCTTCGAGCCAAGTCCGATCAAGTTTCAGCGCAAGCTTTTCGGAGAGGGACTACCGCATCTTCGACGTCCGTCCGGGTCTACCGGCCGGTGGAGTGCATGCCCGGAGATATGCCTGTCATGCTTCTTCTGGTGGGCCAAGGACAGTGAATCCTTGTTGACATTGGCCTGCCCTCGCTGAATCTCCGAAAGAGCGCCCTTGTGCCCAACGTCTCCGCCATGTTTGTCCGTGGCTTTCCAAGCTGGGCAGTTCACGGAACCGACCAAGACCCTAGTCCCGTACAAGGCCATCTGTTTCTCTGTCAGCGGATGTTCTGGAAAGATCATGGCTAAGTATAAAGGCAATGGCCCGCTATCTTAACTTTGCGGGAGCTACGACTCCATCCGCAACTATTCCATTCATTTTCTCTTACATCGACACACCGTTGACCGGTACACATTCTTTCAAAATGCACGCCTCCAGCCTCTTCACTCTCTTCGCGGCCTTGCCCGCCGCCATGGCATGCCTCGGCTACAGCGGTGGCATCCCCAAGGCCACCGGCACCGTCTCCTACAAGTCTGCCTACGTCATCAAGAAGGGCCAGACCTTTGACGGCCAGTGGAAGCGCTACGACCGTGGCGTCAAGTGCTCCGGTCAGAGCGAGGGCGGTGCGTGGCTCCCGCCCTGCTGCGGTGCGACGGCTTGCTAACATCTCGGTGACTCTAGGTGAGAAGGACGCCGTCTTTATTCTCGAGGATGGTGCTACCGTCCGTAACGTCATCATTGGCGCCAACCAGAAGGAGGGCATTCACTGCCGCGGCAGCTGCAACGTCGAGTTTGCCTGGTTCGAGGATGTCTGCGAGGATGCCATCTCGCTGACCGGCTCCGGCACCTCCAACATCATCGGCGGCGGAGCCTACCACGCCGCCGACAAGGTCATCCAGCACAACGGCTGTGGCCGTGTGAATATTATCAACTTCTACGCCGAGGACTACGGCAAGGTGTACCGCTCGTGCGGTAACTGCAAGGGCAACAGCAACTGCAAGCGTACCGTTCACATGGAGGGTGTCACGGCCAAGAAGGGTGGTGAGCTCATCGGCATCAACACGAACCTCGGTGACAGGGTATGTTTTGTCGTCCAGGCAGTTCGATGCGTCGCTGACATGTCATCTTTCAGGCCACCTACTCCAACAACTGCTTCCCCAAGACCCAGTGCCAGGGCTACAACGGCTGTGACAAGGCCAAGACGCCTGGCTGCGAGCCGAAGAAGTCCAAGCTCTGCTAGAAGAGCACAGCCTTGCCATGAACACTCGGTAGCCGAGTGGGTTCAGGCGGTATGCCTTCCGTCTCAGGCCGCAGGGATGCCTGTGTTGAGCATTCGATCCGTACATATTCTCTGCTTCCTCGGAGGCTCTTATATATTAAATCATTTCTGTGTCATTTGGAGGCCAAGCTTTTGGTCATGCTGCCGCCGCTCCTTGATGAGCGCCACGGCCGTGAACTTTTGTGTTGAGAAGCCTCGCTGTTCGTTGTCGGTACGATAAAAGCATGTGCTTTGTCTACCTGTCAGCTTGGTTGGACGTATCGACTCGTTTGTTGCAAATGCGCAACCGACATTGAGGTTTCTAGGTACTGACATCGCAGCACCGTCACTGCTCGGCGAGGCCAGGCCTTCCACCGGCGCGACCAATCAGGGCCTCCCGTGGCGCGGTGTCGGCCAGATGCAAAGCTTAAGACCACAGTTCCACAGAAAAGCCGCGCGCGCAAAGTCCTTCCTCACTGTAAGCCAAAATTAAGATGCATTCACATCCCTACCTAACTATCTTTTTGACAGCTGATATCGCCCCTAGAAGACCTCTTCGCTCTGCTCGTCCCCTCGTTTCGGCAATCCTCAATAAGAAAAGCCATTTTCCTCGTCTTAGGAACTCCTCATCTCCGTCCCTTTCGTTTCCCTTGCGTTCTGTCCACTGATTGTTCTCGGTTACATCGAACGCAACTCTCGTTGAGTTGGAAAACAGCGACCAACTCGCATCGTCCAAGCCATGGCCGAGGAGAAAACGGTTCTCGTAACGGGCGGATCTGGCTTTATCGCGCTGCATGTTATCCACAAGCTTCTCGAGAAGAACTACAGGGTACGCACTACTGTTCGTTCCCTCCAGCGCAGCGACGACGTACGCGCCGCCATTCGTTCCGCAGGCGTTCCCGACGTCCAGGTAAACGCCATTGAGTTTACCGAAGTCGACCTTCTCGGCGAGCGAGGCTGGGATGTGGCCTGTGCGGGCGTTGATTATGTTTTGCATGTTGCGTCGCCGTTTCCCGCCGACGAACCAAAAGACGAGAACGACCTGATCAAGCCCGCGCGTGAGGGCACGCTTCGGGCGCTGCGTGCCGCGAGAGAAGCCGGCACCGTAAAGCGCGTCGTTGTGACATCATCAACTGCCTCCGTCATGTACGGCCACGGCCCGCGCAGCAAAGGTGACCCGTTCACGGAGAAGGACTGGACGGAGCTGGAGAACCCCAAATCGCACGTTGGCGCGTACGCAAAGAGCAAGACGCTCGCGGAGCGCGCAGCCTGGGACTGGGTTGCGAACGAAGGTAAAGGCAGCGTTGAGTTGGCGACTGTGAACCCCACCTTGGTGTACGGACCTTCTCTCGGCAAGGGCGTCAACACCAGTCTCGAAATCCCACGACGTCTGCTATCTGGGGAGTTGCCCGCCATTCCGAACCTGAATCTCGGTGTCGTCGACGTCCGCGACGTGGCCGACTTGCATGTGCTAGCTCTCGAATCTCCTAAAGCAGCTGGCCAGCGCTACATTGCTATTTCGGACGAGCAGATTGTTTCTATGAAGCAGATGGCTGCGGATCTCAAGCAGGGCCTGCCAGCAGAAGATTCAAAAAAGGTCCCGAGCCTCGTCGCGCCGAATATCTTACTTAAATTGGCAAGCTTCTTCGACAAGGCTATCGCTACTGTCGTGCCGCAGCTTGGTGTTGAGCGGCCCTTGTCGAATGCAAAGGCGCGGGAGGAGTTGGGATGGCGGCCTAGGAGTGCAACGGAGGCGCTGATAGCCAGCGCCAAGAGCCTGAAAGCGAACGGACAGCTCTAAGGTCGTCTTGGTAGGACCTAGCGAGCATTCAGCGAGAATCGATTAGATTGTTGTCTGCAAGACGAGTCATTCGCATTGCATCGGCCTCGAAAGTCTGGTTTGTCTGCGTGCAGGTCACGCTAATCCGGCAACGTCAAGCATCACGGATCAAGTAGTGACAAATATGGCCTCCCGCAAGTACATTCCGTGGAGGTTACATAGTTTTGCCCAGGCGGCACACTTCCTTCGCGCTCATGCGGTCTCGAGCGGCGCGTGGCTGGCATGACGTCACGAGCACTATCACTCGTTCAACCTGAACATTGCATGGAGCCTGGTTTTCCGGTAAATTCGGCGAAAGGATTGTCTTTGCCGTAGTATGATCTTGTAAGCTTCTCATTTTGTGTTAGCCTCGTGGAATCCTTTTGGAAGGATTGCAGCAATCTTATTTTCGACCAGTGGATGCTTGTCGCTTGGATGCTAGCGTTGGCACACTCCTGCCTCTTGGCTCACCGATTTGGCATCGTGAGCATGTGCACGCAGCCCTGTAGCGTCAATGACGTAGCGAGGATCGGAATCCCAGATTTGCTGGAACCCAGTACCACCAGCTGGCGGGAATATCTACGTACATAGATAAGCCGGACACGCGATGCATACGGCCCAATTGTCGCATCGTCACTCGTTCAAATCATAAAATTCCTACGTTCGAGCGCCTACTCAGGCAGCAGCACCAGCGTTCCGCACACTAAACAACACCAACACTGTCTCGCCCAGCCAGCAGCCATGTCGAAATGCGAAAATAGCTCAGAAGCCTGGGACATAATGTCATCATCAGGTTACGGCATTCCCACCAGCGTCAACTGGGTAGCGACCTTTTACACAAACGAGAGTCTCTACGCTTTGGACGAATGCTGCCCGTCACCCTACGTTCACCGCATTGGCCTCGAGAGCTGTGTTGTTTGGTGCCAGCTGACGGACGACTATCTGGACCAGTTGAAGTCGGAAGAATCAATCGACACAAAAATAACGACATGCATGGACCAGGCTTCCGCAGGTCGGGAAACACACACCGTGCGCTACAAGACGAGCTCGGCCGCGATGCATGGAGTCTACCCACCCAGTGTGAAAGGACTTTTTCTCGCTTCCTTTGTCTTTCTAGCTATTTGTCAATAATGATCTTGCGAGCGTTGGCATCATGGGGGAACATCTTCGTCGCAGGGAGAGCATGATACCAGGACTGACGATATCTACATCAAACGGGAAAATGATTCAACCATGGTTACAAGCACTGTACTTGCTGTCACTGGCAACGATTATGAAGTCACAGATAATAACAATGAAGAAATCGTCTTTAGGAGGATGGTCCTCCGTTACCCTACGAGTAGAGGCGTGTCAGATGTGGGAGGCTGCGAGATATGTCCAATCTCGTCCTAGCAGCCTGGAGGAGCCGGTCAGCAACCTTGACGATATCGGATTAAGCTTTTTGCCTGATCTTGCCACCTCTCTCACGGGTTAGAAGTGCTTATTTGGACCCTGGTCTCGGTTTCGTTCGTGTTGGGCTCTCGTGCTCTCCCCTGCCCCACGTGGTGTCCTCATTTTGCTTCATCCTGGAATCTTTCGCCGACCGCCGACAGTTGATGCTTCCTTGGCCACACCAACGTAATGCTTGAGCACAAAACGTTTGGACTGCCTTTCGGACTGCTTTCCTGACTCGCCCATGTCAGGCTCTTGTGACCTTGTGCTCTCAAGCTCTTGCCCCCGTGTATTGCTCCTGTGCAGTCCGTGATCTTGCGTTGATCGGTGGAAGCCATTCTTAGCCGGCATGCTCAACCTCGATTCGCTTATGTTGCCGTCGGTCGGTTTCGGATCTTCAGCTCGTCTCCCGTTGCCCGCGAATCATTCCTCCTCTTACGTGTTCGGTGCTCTTACGCCGATCATCTCATGGATGCCATTCCCAACCCTGCCCGTATTGTCCTCCTCTTATGTGGTTCGGCCCTTGTGTGTGATACTTTATTCCTGCATTGGTCTTGTACTCGGCCCTGTCAAAAGCAATGTTAGCGGAATCAAGATGCAGATGCAGCAGGGAGGGGATGTGGCGGTGTTCTGGGATATTGTTGATGGGTTTTGGATTAGAGAGCCATGGCGGGGTAACAATCGAGAAGGAAGGTGCCAACGGCGTTCGCTGCATCCCTGACATGCACTTCAGGCGGCATCTGCCAAAGCGCAACTCGAGCGTTGTCACTGTCCGCATCAGCTGACGTTTTGAGCCCAGATTCATAATCCTCAATATTGATCATCCCATGGCATCTGAAAGTACAGCCGTTACCCCCGACTTTGGAAAAGCGATGGCTGCATTTCGTGCTCCCAGGTAAGCACACCAGCAGAACAGAGGCATCATACTACGATCAGCGGACAGGTCAAACGTCGTAACCGCAGTTGCTCCTCTGCGAGTAGGTTTCCCGGATCCATGATCCCACCACAAGTTGAGGGAGCCAAACATTCATGGTCGATGAACGCCTGGTAATGTCCTCCTAATCCATCCCATCGCCCCCCCTCCCCCCCAAACAGCGTAAGGAAGCTGAACATTCTACTCTCGATAAAACAACGGCCTCTTTGGCAACACCGTCCGCCTCAGGATAGCAAAAATCAGCAGGACATCCCACTCTTGACCAAACAGTGACCTCCCTAGAATGTGTGGCCCGCTGGCCATCCTTATCACCTTCTCCGCGCTCGGTCCCTTCTGGCCTACTCCGACCAAATACCCGGCGCCCCCCTGTCCGTCTCATTCTGCCACATCCCGATCCACATACCACCCATCTTGGCACAGGAAAGCGGCCCGTACAGTCGGGACTGCAGCGGGCTCTGTCAAGGACACAGGGCAACGCCTCACCCGGCGCCAGCGCGACCATGTACCGCGCCCGAATGGTGACCGTGAGCTAGCGAGGCTTAAATTGTCGACGCGGGCGTTAGAGTGAACTCTCTAGATCCTTTCAATCCAGCCCCATAATCGCGCATGCGACTGTTTGGGCTAGCGGAAAGTTAGTTATCCACGAGCTAATAAGCGCTAATGACGGGTGTCAAAGACCGCTTTCAGCGCCGGAGAGAGCGCCCATCCGTGGGCCGAGGAATCCAGTGGACGGGTTCGTCCCCATCACGGCTGCCATGTGCTATAGAGTATAGTCACCGCCCGGAACGATGAAGCAAGTAGATACTGCTATTTTCTAAGGGGCTGGTCATCGAACGTCTCGCTGGAATGAGGCCTTAATGACCTCTATATGGATAAGGCGAACGATGGGTGGAGGCCTACGTACCCCTTTTAGAGGAAATGATACCCTGACCCATGAGCTCGGGCCTCTTGGTGAACTAGCTGCTGACGCGCAGCCTCAGCCCAGTGGAACAGCCGGGTATAAGCCGTATCACCTATTGGGAAGAGTTGAGGACTACCTAAAAGGCGCCAACTATCCTTCGCCCCTTTGACAATGCCGTTTCTCAGCTAACCGATCATTCATCAGACTCAGTCTAGCTGGAGTGCTAGTATAGGGACAAGATGGACACCATTCCCATCCCACTCACCGATCTCATCGCCCCTATTCCTAACATCAGAACGCGCACGTTCTTCATCGTGAACGACCGTCTAGACGTCGATGCTCTTCGGAACGCGCTGACAGATCTGTCCGTAACACTGGCGCAAATTAGGGGCGCGCGTGGTCCGAGGTACCCAAAACGGACAGTGGGAGTATCATCTTCCCAAGATATTCAACGATGAATACGTGCTTTTCAACTGGACCTCGGAAGACACCGAGGCCTCCATTGACACTGTCACTGAATCATTGAAACGTCCCTCCCCGGGCAGCGGCATCGCTTTCCTCCAGCCCATCGACGACGTCGACAGCTGCTTCAGACCCGCCGACTGGCCTTTTGAGCAAAAGGATGATCCTGCTGACGCCCCGATCCTCTACGTCCACATCCGCACATTTACCGACGCGACTGTCATCGCCATCAGCATGCTGCATGTCTTCGGCGACCAGCTTGGTCTCGCCAACATTGTGAAAGCATGGATGGGTATTCTCGAGGGGAAAGCACCTCCTCCGTTCGTAGGGTACGACGAAGAGGTACTTCCACATGATAAGGCATTTGAGGATTTCCCGAAGCGGGATACGCACCGTAAGGGGTGGATGCGGGTCAGGCGGTATGGCGAGTACTTGTTCGTGCTACTCGGCTTCATCCTGGACCTGATCCTACATGCCGAGGAGAGCCACATCATCTTCTTCCCGCTCCAGATGGTCGAGTCGATGCGGGTACGGACGTCGAAAGAGCTGGAGCAGAAGTACGGGGCTGACCCGGGAATCTCGCACGCGGACATTCTGACTGGCATCTTGACAAAGGTTTCTTCCCATGGCCATAGACATGTGGCAACAGCGCTGACTAGTATGGGCTCCAGTTTGCGCACATGTATAAGACATCACCTGTTACAATTTCACTCTCGCAAACCGTCAATCGTAAGTCTCCACCAAGCATATTTACCGTCGGAATGTCTCTGACGCACAATTGGTAGTGCGTGGCCGTGTCCCTCAGCTTTTGTCCCCCGCGCGCAACGGCTATATCCACAACGCCCTAATCTATGCGTCATCTCGTTACCGTCACTCGCGCTCCACGTCCGTCGGCGAGATTGCGTACCTCAACCGCCAAGCCGTCAACGAAACCTTGACGACCAAAGGCATCGACGTCGGGTTGGCTGTGATGCGGGAAATGGTCAAGCGCGGCCAGTCCACGCACATTTGTGAACCATTCGAGAAGTCATACGCCGTGACCAACTGGTGTGGAGCCTGGAAAGATGTCGATTTCACTAATGCAGCGAAAACGAGAGAGAAGCAGGGCGACGAGACCCGTCCGCTGGGCCTGCTTGTCCTGGGCCACGGCGGAGAGCGAAAGACGCCTAAAAGATGTAAGTTGCCTTTCTGAGCTTAACCGGGCTTCAGAGGATTACTAACACCACGTTCACAGTCCATTCCACTGTCATGTGCAAGACGAATGATGGTTATTGGGTCGATTTCAGTACATCCCGAAAGGGCATGAAGGCGATCAAGGACTATATCGCCTCGGATCCGGCGCTGGAACGGTTTTAGTCATTTCATGCCTACTGCTATATCTATTGCTATCCTCATGCTCATGCCCATGCTTATGCCCATGCTCATGCCGATGCTCATGCCTATGCTCATGCCTATACTTATGCCTATTACTATGCTCATGCTCATGCTTATGTTCATACTCATGCTCATGCCTATTACCATGCTCATGCTCATGCTCATGCTTATGCCTATTACTATACTTATACTTATACTTATATTCATACTTATACTTATACCTATTACTATACTTATACTTATACTTAAAATTATACTTATGCTTATACTTATACCTACTATTATACTTATACTTATATTTATATTTATTACTATATTTATACTTATACTTATAATTATATTTATTATTATACTTATATTTATATATATATATTTATATATATTTATACTTATATTTATATATATATTTTTATATATATTTATACTTATATTTATTTTAAAATATAATATATTCTTTAATTTAATTAATATTATATTACTTTTTTTTAAATCTTTTTTATATGTAATTAAATTTAGAT